TTTTAGTATCTTATTTTACATTTTTGATGCATTTAAGCCAGGGATGCGGAGCCGTGGAAATTTCAGACGGCTCCGGCTCCGGCTCCGGCTCCGGAGAAAAAAAATCGGCTCCGGCTCCGGCTCCGGCTCCGGGTGAAATGTTATGGCGGCTCCGGCTCCGGCTCCGGCTCCGAGTAAAATGGTCCGGCTCCGGCGGCTCCGGCTCCGACTCAGTACATCCCCTACGCAATCAATTAAATACGGGTGGAAGAAAAATTGGATTGGTTATACGCGTTACTCTTTGCCATGACCGGCTCACCGCGTCCCCGCGCAAACGCACCTCGGAGAGAACTGGCAGAACAAAGGGCTAGGAAGCGATGGCATTGGAAACGCAGTCGCCGCGAATCGGAGTTCAGTGAACCATCGTAAGCTGACACCTGTCTCGGCTGCATTGGGGGGTGAGGGGTGGGGGGTGTGTGGGATGAGACGGTGCTGGGAGTCGCAGTCCACTGCACTGGTTTGAAAACAATGGCCGTCACCTGATGACTGGTCCTCATGTTCTGGGGATGCAGTAGACGTGGGGGGGGGGGGGGGGGGGGGGAAGAGCAAACAGGAAGTTGTTTGCGTACTGTGGAATACTGGGGATATTCGGATTTTTTCATTCACTTGATGGCCCATGACGTAAGTACCATATGTTTTACTGCCTTGTACTGTCAAACCGAACTAGGTCAATTATTTTTTCCTCTTCAAAAAATAAAAAGGAGCCGGAGTCGCCCCCTTTTTTGGCGGCTCCGGCTCCGGCTCCGGCTCCGGGCTATATTGTTTCACGGCTCCGGCTCCGGCTCCGGCTCCGGGCAAAATATGCCGGCTCCGGCGGCTCCGGCTCCGACTCCGGCTCCGGCTCCGCATCCCTGATTTAAGCATCATATCTGAATTCAGGACATCAAACAGTGTAAGAATGTGCATTTTTTCTTGTTAAAATAATATTGCGGACCTAAAGTAAATATTTACCGAATATTTTTAATATGATTTACTTAATAATTTAATAATTTAATAATAATTAAATTTACTGAAAAAATAGGTACGTTGCCGGTTGCAGGCAGAAATACTAAAATATAATCTAATCTGACTTAACCTTAGGTATCAAACGTAATCTAACCTTGCCTGGCTCAACTGCAAGGGGTGGTTAGGTGTAACTTATCATTGTTTTGTGTAAAAAGTATTGTTAGTATAGATGTGTGGTATCTTTTTTCAAGCTTAGTAGCATGTGTTCTTTTTCATGTTTTTTTAAATTTTGTGCATTCCTTTAGTTTTTTAGAGGGTGCGAAAGGTAGCCGTAACTGAAGAGTGTGATTACAAAATGTTGCCAATTTTTAATTTGGAAGGTGAAATGGCCATGGGTGGCTACCTAATAGATGATTTTGCTATGGCAAAAGCATGGTCCATCAGGCATTTTTGTGAATTGAAGTGGCAAAATTGTTAGGTACTTATCAATTTAGGTGATCACTTTGATCACTGTGCTGTGAAATTACTTTATCTACCTTGCCCATCCTAACTTACCCTAATATTTATTGTTGTTTTGGTTGTTATTGTTGATACATAAACATTCATTCTGCAAAATGAAACAACATATAACTGAAGCAAATATCAATGTAACTCCTCATGCATCTTTACAATTGTGTACGATTATAAAGCTCATACATAATGTACTGTCTCTGTTCCTTGTCTTGTTCTACTGTGTTCTACATTTGTGATATGACACGCCTACACATCCAGGCAGTATTTGAGCTCAGAAAAGTGTTTATCTGACTTTTCCACATAGCATTGTTCTCAGTAAGCATACTTATTAACAACTAAATGTCTAGTGTTCAAATCACATCATAAGAGAGGAAGATAAAGGCCCACCATTGTCATGTCCTTGCTGCAAAGGGGCATTGCTATTACACTGGTAGGTAATTGACATATGGGAATGTGCGTTTATTTCCAGCACCTGGTGTCTCCACGGAGACAGTCTCTGCCGCGCCCACGGAGACAGTCACTGCCGCGCCCACGGAGACAGTCTCTGCCGCGCCCACGGAGACAGTCTCTGCCGCGCCCACGGAGACAGTCACTCTCTCTGCTCCGCCCACGGAGACAGCCGCTGCTGGTCCCACGGAGACAGCCGCTGCTGGTCCCACGGAGACAGTCTCTGCCGCGCCCACGGAGACAGTCACTCTCTCTGCTCCGCCCATGGAGACAGCCGCTGCTGGTCCCGCGAAGACAGTCTCTGCCGCGCCCACGGAGACAGTCACTCTCTCTGCTCCGCCCATGGAGACAGTCACTCTCTCTGCTCCGCACACGGAGACAGCCGCTGCTGGTCCCACGGAGACAGCCGCTGCTGGTCCCACGGAGACAGTCTCTGCCGCGCCCACGGAGACAGTCACTCTCTCTGCTCCGCCCACGGAGACAGCCGCTGCTGGGCCCGCGAAGACAGTCTTGGGGACAGTCGTTGATGTGCCTGTGTATATATCAACAGTGATGAGTAGTATTCGGCAGATTGAGGGCAGAATGGCAGAAATCAGCGAATCTCTCAAGCGACCGAGCGTGCAGTCCGGACCAACCGTTCTTGCGATGGAGTCAGACATGACGTCCGTGCGAGATCTTGCAAGGATCTTAAGCACTGCACCTGAACTGGTTGCCGTACCAGAGCAGAGCTGCATTTACTGCTCCACTTGTCTGCCTGAGTTCCGACCAGACCGTGATATGCAGACTGCAAAGTCTAACCTGGGCGGACTCTTCCGGTACGACTTTAGCCATGGCGTAAGCTTTCCAAGGTCGTGTCCGGTTCCGAGGGCCTTCAGCGCCATGAAGGATGCTGTCAGGTCGCACCTGTGCGGCAAACGGCATAAGCACCAAGTGGAGGTGAAGAAGGCAAGGGAAGAAAGTATCGCGAAGAGAGAGCAGTCCTCCGCGCGGACTGCCAGGAATGTGCTGCGTGTGGCTTATCACGTGCTGAAGGACTCCCTGCCTCACAGCCAGTTCGAAAAAATGATAGTTACATGCCACAAAGCAGGCGCAAAGATGGGGAATCTGTGCCACTCGGCTCAACAGATGCAGCGATATCGAAAGGCTTTCAGCCAAGAGATAATGGAAAGTCTAGCCCGCCATGTGATGTTCTCACCATGCGTGTCGCTGGTAGTGGACAAGGTCACCGTCATGCACCGCACCATGGACATAACCGGCATTGTCACCATCATCCCCACTGCGCCGCCGCAGCAGCTGTTCCAGAGTTTTGTGGTTGGAGCCCCGATCGTGAAGAACCACGACGGTGCTGGGCTTGCGGAGGAGTGGTTGGGCACAGTCAAGTCATGTGGTGTGACAACCGCTGACAAACTGGCTGCCATCAGCACGGACGGGCAGTACCACCACGGTGGTGTTCCAGGCCGGTTTCTGAAGCGCCTGCGGGACTCTGAAGAGGATGTCGCACAACGGTCAAAGAGGCCATGTGTGCCGTGCCTGTGGGACGATGCGCACCTCTTGCAGCTGGCCGATGGTGACGCACGGAAGGGCGATGGGTGTCAGTGGGTTAGAGAAACCGTGGACACCATCACCCGCATCAACAAGAAGTTCACGCATGGGAAAGCCTATGAAAGCTTTCGTGACACCATTGAGGCTCTGGGCGGCGAGGGAAAAGGCATACTGCTGTGGTCAGACACGCGGTTTGCTCCGCATGCCGCGAAGGTGCTGAAGGCGTTTATCGCCAACCTGCCTGCCTTCAAAGCCGACATGGAGAAGCAGCTGATGTCTGGCGATGTGAAGTCGTCTGTCCTGGTTGAGATTCGACAGGACATCAAGATGATGACAGGTTAGTGAGGCCGTTTTCTGAACAAAATTGGGCATGACATTTTCTTCTCATTTTCACAAGTTCTTGAGAGGAACACATTTATTCGATCGTTGCCATTCAGCAAATATCCACAGTCCGTGGAAAATGCTCAGCTGCGGTGCGTCAGCATGGTCGAGTAATCATCTTTCATATCTAACAATTTACGGATGTCAGCTGTGTCTGTTAAATTGGGTGCTCTTGCATGCTGTTTAACATATTGAGCTGCGTCCTTTTTAGGTGACGGCCTATGATCACTGATCAGGCACACTGCAAAACTCCCGATATATTTTAGCGCCATTATGCTAACGGAGGAGCCCGCTTATATTCACGCAGTATTGGTTCAAGTGTTTCTATTATAATAGAAGGGACGTTGCTATTTACATCGTGTTGTTATTTTTCTGCTTTCTAATTAATCATTATTTTCAGCCAGGTGGTTTCAAGCGCGTGTGGCGGCACTGCTGGACTTGTATACCGCTCTGTCGGAGGCCAGCAAAGCCCAGCAAAACCTCCAGCTTCTGCCCTGGGAACGCCTGAAGCTTCGCAATGGACTGCTGGAGGAACTGCGCTCCAAACACCTCTCGCTACCTCGCGCACGGAGGCCTGGAGAGGTCTCTTCAGCACAAATCCGGGAGCTGCTTGCAGAAAAGGATCCAGAGGACACACCGAGCTACTGGCCAAACCTGGCAAGGCATCTGGAAAACATGTCTCCGTCACAGGTATGCATATTATTAATTCACATTTCGTTTAGTTGGAAGCATGCCAACGAGTCTTTTACTTTTGAACTGATTGATCTAGGTCCACATAAAATTGACTAATAATTCCGTTGATTTTGAGTTTTCTCTTCTTGTTTTTGTTAATGTCTTGAATAGCATATTTTAAATTTATGTATCGGCATTTCAATGACAAATACATCTAGCTGGAGGTGGCTGAGCCTAGGGTAAACATTTTGACCATGGTAAAAATGTTGCACTCATTTGAATTCGGGCTTTTTTACACTCGCCCAATATTATTCCGTGCATTTTCTTGCAAGCTTGGCTTGCGTTCTTCTACGCTTAATCGGAAAATCGGTTCCTTTATTTCGAACTCGACAATATGTCTAAGCCAAAATGTAACAAACCATCTGGCTTGCATGCGGTAAAATATACTAAACGCGGTCGGTGATAAATGTTTACTAACTCCATCTTTACTTCTTCTAACCCGGCCTGCGGCGTTATTCAGCATGCTATATTCCTTACAGCTAAATCGTCCATTATCTCCTTTGTCCATTACCGTATTGTCCATCGTCCATTATCGCATTCATTGCTAAGAATATAGCATGCTTCTAGGTGCCCATGTGATCTTGTTGGTTTGTTTTGGTGCAGTCTTTATAAGACAGTGAGCTATGGTATTCGCCTTTCAATTGTATTCAAGAGACGTACAACAAAGTGATCTGGTGTGGATGGACGTCCAAAATACATTTGCGACACTGACTTTTTGTTCATATTATTTTGGTTGATGTTCTTCTCACACCTCATCCTAAAGTTTTAATGGTCAATATCGCCTATTTGTGTCTTCAATCAGAATACGATTGCCTGGCCATTGTCGAGTCGCAAGGTAAGAAAATGTGTTTATTTGAATGCGCTCGTCTTTTTCAGGTGTGCGAGATCGCGACGTTCACAAAGGCGTTGATCGAGCGCTGTGCCAGTCGCGCAAAAGGCCAGGACTCCCGCGGCTCCTCCAAGGGAAGTCACAACGAGAAGGTGGCCGACAGCATGGAGGACATCCAAACGGTCAGCGATCTGGCGGGTATCCAAGCCTCTCCTACGTCAGGGATCGTGGGCACAGTAGTAATTAGGGCTAGTCGGCTTCATAGGGCGGGGATCATCCCGAATGAGCTTTCCCACACTTCAGCGCGAGCTATGTTCACTGCTCTCAAAAAACTACCACCGGCTGACAACAAAAGGCTCTTCAAAGAACTGTGGGACATGGCCAAGCATGACCAGTCGCTGAGCGACTACATGGCCCTGGTCGTGCGCCTATGGCTCATCTGGCCGGTGGAGACAGTCGTCGAGAGCATGGCGAGCGTGCTCAAAGCCGTCTTCAAAGACTGCCGAGTGCTGGACCACGACAATGCTGCCATGGAGCTCATCATCCGTTGGAACGGCCCAGACGTGGCGCATGCGGAGGGTCTTATAGACCAAGTGCTTCGCCACAACCAGCAGCTGAACAATTTCACGCGCGCCACAATCGTTCAGGCTGTCGAAGGCACAGTCATCTCCCGACATATGTCTTCCCGTCATCCTCGCTCATACATTTATCTCGAAGCTAGGAAGCGTAACTAGTGAAAATGTGTAGCAGTGTCTGTGGTGCGTGCAGTGTTATGAATGTGTAAGCAACTCATTGTGTGTGTAATGTCGGGCCACGTAGGCAATGGAACCAGTGAATTGTCTTGTGAGTTGTGACATTCAATGTACATGGCTTTCCGTCTTCCATGACTTGCATCGAGTCAACGCCAGATCAGAATAGTTTTTTGCCAGGAACACATTGATGGTAATCAATATCCATAATACTGAGTGCTGTTGGTTCTGTGGGTAAGCGGCGATTATTAGTGGGTTCTTTATCCTATTGTAATGTCAGGCCGCAGGGCTGTACACCCGGTGAAAGTGTCCGTATTTCAAAGAATTTCGGCGTCTTTCCAGATCGTTTTTGTCAATCTGCTTCCTGGCTGTATGAATGTTAATACGATGTTCGATCATTCATATCGTACATCCACGGATGGACGGTGAACTCTGCCTTTTAGATGATTTGGCATGGGCCGGAGCGCACGCATTAGTTCTGGGCCCATGCTCTTATTTTCATTTGTTATAGTGCTCGTGTACGATTTTTAGCCCAGTGCCCACTACCATTGATACCAAATACAACGATCTCAGGCCGCTCTCCGGCAAATGCATTACGATGGTGGTGTTTGATACCGAGGCTGGCGACAGTAGCATCAGAAGTGAATTCAAATACATGCATTATTTACTTAAAAAACGTTCCGTTGGCTGTCCAACACCCTAAGGGCTATGGGCATTGGCCAGCCGGTGCTGCGACCACCATCTGAGCGAAAGTTTTGGTCGGCGACCACTAAACGCTTTTTTTGAGCCCTGACTGGGCGCCTCCGCCCCATACTTTGGTGAGTGGGTGCCTCCGCCTCATACACTGGTGAGTGGGCGCCTCCGCCTCATACACTGGTGAGTGGGCGCCTCCGCCTCTTGGTGAGTGGGCGCCCCCGCCTCATACCTTGGTGAGTGGGCGCCTCCGCCTTATACCTTGGTGAGTGGGCGCCTCCGCCTTATACCTTGGTGAGTGGACGCCTCCGACCCATACCTTGGTGAGTGGGCGCCTCCGCCTCATACTTTGGTGAGTGGACGCCTCCGCCTTATACTTTGGTGAGTGGACGCCTCCGCCTCATACTTTGGTGAGTGGGCGCCTCCGCCTCATACTTTGGTGAGTGGGCGCCTCCGCCTCACACACTGGTGAGTGGGCGCCTCCGCCTTATACCTTGGTGAGTGGGCGCCTCCGCCGCTATGAGGCGGTACTTTGGTGAGTGGGTTTGTTGTGTTATTATGTGGTATAACCCTCGCCGGCACAGGGGGGGGGGGGTTGATGCAACCCCCCCTAAGGTTTTTCGCGAATAACTCGCGTAAAAAGCGGCTGATCGCGACGAAACTTTCAGTACCCTCGCATTGATCAATTTTACATGTTCCCTGAAAATTTCATGACCCTGACCCCAATGACCTTTGACCTGTGACCTCTTTTCCGTGACCATGTTTGGCCGAAATCGCGGTTCGGCGCATGTCGGCTCGCATTAGCCGCGCGTTTGCAAGCTTTTCGTGGTTTCAAACGTTCAAACATGTGATTTGATGTTGCTCCCATACATTAGGGTGGGTGTCAAGGTCACCTGAAGGTCAGGTCAGGTCAATGACCTTTGGTGACCTCGGGTGACCTCGGTTCACTTTTTCGAGTTTTACATGTTTCTAGGCTAGTTTTTGGAGCTGAATTCGAATTTAGCAACCATTTGAACATTTACGAAGTAGTTTTGGTGCCTTCGTAACATGTTACGAAGCTGTCAGAGGCGGTTGACACGCATTACGAATACCCGTCACAACCCATACCGGTTGACCTGACCTGACCTGACCTGACCTGGTCTAAATGCTTAAAAACATCGTCTCTGATCAAAACTAACACGATATTCGTGATCAGCATCCCGGAAAACCACGTAGCAGCCACACTTTACGACTTTCTAACATGTCCCGATTTTCCCGGTTTTCGGGTCATTGACCTGACCTGGAAGGTCACCTGATGACCTAGGACCTTAAAATTGGGTATCATCGGCTTCCTCTCGTGACGGGCAACACGCTCGCTTTTTTCCGCGAAGCTCTAGCTCGATCAGGGGCCAAACGCGAGGGGGGGTCGTACCAACCCCCCCCCCCCCTGTGCCGTCGAAGGACGCAAAATGGCCTGTGCCGGCGAGGGTTAACGTACACAACAGCACGTAATAATATCACATTATGTGGATGCTGGTTTGAAAAAGAGGTGAACATAACTTTTTGGTGTTGGGCTATTGTTTCGTATTTTATCAATGAAAAAGTAGGTGAGTGGCTTTGAGAGGGTCAATTGCCAAACAATGTAAATTTGATTGTTTTCGCAGGAGCTTGCCAATTTTGACTATCATGCTTATGAATCCGTTCTTACGGTATCTTATTTTCTAATCAAGGGAAGAGTTTCCCTGAAACATCAGCTAATGTTGTTTTTAAACACTTTTCATCGATTCGAAACAACTGTGCTTCGCGTTTCCTATTTTGGATTAACGAAATTACTAACTAAAGCTCGTAATGGCGTAGTTCATTACACTAGCAGGTCTATTGACACGGAAGTTTTCGGCGCTCCAATCGCTAATCATTGGCATGGAACGGGTGATGTATGTGTGCCTCGTACCTTTGCTCTGACTCGAGTTTGCTTTCGTCACTTTCCTTTCAACACGTGTAAGCATTGGGTGCCCGTTGTTAAGGATGTGGGCTTAATGAAGTCATGCTTGTGCGGTACACAGTACGTCATTGTGAGGACTCTTGCTGGGCCGCAATAGCAGGATCAGTCGCTGCGCCATGGCTCGACGGCTTATGTGGCGTTTTCTAAATAGCCGTGCTGGAACGTACTTCATTTATCTGGGTCTAGTTCTTGCCGATTTGGCTGTGTCATTGTTTTTTTTTATCGTGACCTCATTGATTCCGGTGTGATGTACGAATTACGGTCATATCGAAACCACATTATATTATTCTGAACTGAATATTTCTTTGATTGCTGCATGACCTCTCGTAACTTTTGCTATCACATTAACCCAGTTCTTGACCTTTGCGGACCGTGGGCGTTATTGTTTCCCTTTGACCTCGTGACCGTACTGATAAGGATGACACTTGTGACCCACCAGCGATCTCGTGGACTTCCCTGACCCTATGATTGTGACCCAGACCCCTTCGTCAAACCTCTTTGACTTTTGTAAGTCCATTAGTAACCCCATTGACCTTCCTGACCCTTTGGTGACCCGTCTGACCTCTATGACCTCATCACTGACCTCATTGACCTCCCTGACCTTTTGCTAACACCTCTCACGTCCGAGCAGCTGACCCTGGATACGATCTGGCTGTACGTGTGCGGAATCGACCCGGCCTCCGGGGGCAGGCTGCCCAGTCGACTGTGTGTCATCCCCGAGGCTCTTACTTGTCTTCTGGAGATGGTCCGTGCTCACCTCAACTACGAAAGGTGAGAAATCGGAGGGTCAAAGGAAATAGTTCACTTTTAACATGAGATTTTGAACTGGAATAGCAGTTTGGTAGCTTGCGCTGAGACTAGTACAAATCAGGAGCTGTTACGGCCCAACGATCATCCTAGACGAAGATATTCCATTTCTCGTTCCGAAAAGAGTGCTTTGCAGAGGAATGCGTGCCTTGCACAGGAATGCAGCCACGTCATCGTCAGCCAATCAGCATGCTGCTTTGTACACTACAGAATCCTCGCCTCAGACGGAAGCACTTGCTGCGCGCTCCACAAATGGCAAATCTGGGCAACTTGCGCGTGCCATTCTTTGTGATAGATGCCGTTGCCTGCGGTGCAGTTTTGTGAAGTCTGATTGTGAGCGCGCCTATATAATGTAAAATATACATGAAAAAAATCAGCATGCTGCTTACAGCCAATGCAGCATGCGTAGGTTTGAACTACGCAATATGATTGGTCAACGCGTAATAAGCTTCCGCGTCGAAACATTATTTTATACAGAATATAGTTCTTCCTACATTAAACTATTGAAAATAATCCTTTTTACAAAAAGGTTTTATTTTATTTATCGAACATTTTGAGCATATAAAAATCATAAATCCATAGGAAAATACTACTTTCAGGAATGACGTGAACTATTTCCTTTAATGTGTGCATGTGGTGAATGGTGTTAGGAACTCTTGAATGGAGTGGTGTATGAGATGATTTTTTTTTTTAAATTTAGTCCGAACCTTTTGATGGGAAGGATTCACAAGGACAGAGCCACCGCTAAGCGAAGCTTGTTGCGGTGACCCTGCCCTCTACCCTCCGATCGCGTAATTCCAGTTCTATGGCAGAATTTAGAGTCCAAAGTTTAACGTGCGCACATAGCCGCGCATGGCCGGTCCCCTCACTGACTTCACCTGGCTACGGCCTGCCACCAACCGCAACCATACCTGTCAGGAGGCCCATAAATGTCAAGCGCCCGTCGCGCTTCGAACCTGGACTGTTGTAACCGGGAACGCGTGCTCTCACCACGCGGAGTCCAACGCTCTACCAACTGAACTACGGGACCGGCTGACCTCTGACCTCTGTGACCTCATCACTGACCCAATGGACCCCTGATCCTTGGCTAACACCTCCCTCGTCCGAACAGCATGATAAACAACACATACGTTTTGTGGTTTATTGATCACACGGCAAGCGGAGGCTCAAAAAAGCATGCACCAACATTCGGCATTGGATAAGCATTAGCAACATTGATGTTGACATACAAAAGATATTTGAATCAGGATTTTAACCGCTGTCAATGACAAGGCATCGTCACAAAAGTGATGTTCATGACATCTACAGGCTCTACAAATTTTCCGTATGGCAAGGTCTTACTGAACCCTACCTAACACTCAATCCATGACCTTCCCTAGCCATACCATACTCACTCCACCCTTACCTTCTACCCTTACTTCACCCTGTAGAAGCGTGCGACTCAAGCGGTTCTACTCAAAGCTTGATTGATGACTATGACTACCTCGACACGACATGGACTAAGCGGCAAAGCAGCACTGAACGGCTCACACCACGAAAACCCTCCGTCAAAGCCCCATTTCCATTGGGGTCAAAGTTGTCCACTTGCATTGAATTGTATTGTTTTGTGACCGATTTGACCTTACGAGTTAGAATCCTTAAAAATAAGAGTTTAGGTTTAGCAGAACGCGTAAGTTATGATTATCCTGGCAAGTTGTTATTACTTTAATTGGGTTGGTCAATACTTATATCGCCACCAAACTTTACGATTGATGCGACCCTATAATCAATTTGCTACCAAACTGTTTCATTTTGCACCTGATCCTGTTAAGATTTGACTTAAAAAGGCAAAGTGGATCTGCGTTACAACTCAGATTCCTTCTCAACCCTCTGTGCCCAGTGCGGATCACGTGCCCGCTGTTGAACAAGAGGGTCCTTCGGCCGATCCATCCGGTCACTGGCTGATGACTTGTACTGCTCGTCTGGTAGACGGAAGAGCCTGTCCACGCCGCCCCCTGCCTGGCACTGACTATCCAATGGGACGAGTTGTGGTTTTGGTGGCTGGCGGGGCACGGTGACGTAGTGACGCGTACCTCCGTAATCGCCGTGACCATGTGGCAGGCCTCCCACTGCTCCTCTCTGGTGACCAAATGGAGTGAGACATGGGCTCTGGTAACCCTTCTCCAACTGTTCTGGGCCACGGCTGGTATATGTCGAGACAGGCCCGGCACTGGTTGGGCGGTCTATTAAATCCTCCATGTCTTGGTGAGACGTGTGGCCAGTCGTATTTCCAGCGTCGTGAGTCATTTCGTGGCCGGGCTCAGACATTCCGTGCGCCTCCGTCGATGAATGTGGCGACTGGGACTTTTGGGACTTTTGGCGGACTTCTTCCGACTTTTTTTCCGGTTTTGTTTCACGACTGGTGTGTGTTTCGCCGGTTCCGACGCTGTTCGTGCTGTCTGGGGCGCCCTGATCGGCCGGCTGGTGGGACGCGGTGTCGACTGACCCGGGTACGTAGTTCTGAATCGGTGCGCTGATCGTGGGTCGTGAGTCCGGTCCGGGAGTCTGCTGATCGTCAGAGGGGTGCAGCGGAAAAGTAGCAAATTGGACTTGGTGGGGGTCGGTGTGTTGACCGTCAGATGGATCCAGCAGGGCGTGATAGGGGGACCCGCTTGTCTGCCGATCCTCGGCAGAGACTCGTGACCAACGAGCTACATTTCCTATACCTGAGTGGCGTGTTGTTCGCCTGCGTCGGCTTCCATTTTGTCCTTCAGCACTCGAGTGTTGTCTGAAATGACGTCGAACAAAAAATGCGGTGACGGCTAGCGCAATCAGGACCGCGGGAATGATGGTAGCGACTAGGATCTCATTATGGGTGAAGCCGGTGCGGACCTGGTCTGATCCATCAGCGGACGTTTGGTCCCCGGTCTCAGAGATCGTTTGTTGGTCCTGTTCATTTGATTCACCGGCTGTCTGAGGCGGCTGTGGCGGCCCGCCTCGCGGTGGCGGCCTACCTCCTCTGAGTAGCTTGGTCGGATTAGTGGGCGGTGGGATGGTGGTGGGTCTAGGACAGAACTCCTTCAGGTAGTGGCCCAGTGGCGGTCGAAAACCATTGATCACGCAGAGAGGCTGGTGTATCCAGAACTCGTTCTCAGAAGATGCATCGAGTCCCAGAGCTGTCGCTATGTCGCACGTACAGGGAATGTCCAATGTCATGTCATGCATTGTTATCATCTGGGTCTGGTTGAACTGCAGTGAACCGTTCTGTGGACGTTTGATGTGGAGATTGTCTAACAGAATCCGGTTGCGAGCTGTGCTGTTTTCTTTCATCACACTTACCGACCTGAAGGCTCCCTTTTGCAGAACATCAATTGTGCAGTTCCTGATTGTGATATCGTCTGCACGCACCGTAAGTGCTTCCTCTGACGCTTCAGCGATAGTGCTGTTCTCAATGTAAAACTTCGTAACATTCAGCTGCAGTCCATCCTTTGCTATTGTTCCGAATATGTTGTTCTTGATTCGAACATTCTCAACGGTCCCGCAGATGCCCGATGTTTCGATCTCGTCAAATTCGCTGTTTTCTAGAATAAGCTCAGTCATCCCTTTGCAAGCTGAAATGCAGTTCTTTCTGGTTCGATTGATATGCGACGAGCTCAGGGATAAATATCCAATTTTGCCCCCGAATGTGTTTTCACCGCATGCTTCCATGGCAACATCTTTTACCTTTAGCTTGTCAATGTTTGCCTCGATACCATCCGGCTCAATGTTGAGGTACTTCACTTTTTCCAGCCTGGCCTCTGTCATCCTCGAGTTTCGGGACAGTGCACCTGAATGTATAGTGAGGTTGTCGGTGCCGTCAATCCAGGCCTTGTGCACTGTGACATTTGACGTGAATGCTTGCTTTGATATCGAAAGTGTTTTTATACCTATCATGTGAACATTTTCTATCAGAGAATCATCGCTGAAGGCGCTTTCATGAACAACCAGTGATTGTATTCCACTCAATGTCAAGCTGCGAAACTGTGCGCCAGCAGCGGAAAAAGGGAACAGCTGGCAGTCATCCACGTCTGTTATGGTGATCCTGGAGTCTCCTTTCCAGTCTTGGAATGTCTTGGAATGCAGCTGAAGACTCTTCACTGTGCTAATCCTCACGGTGATCGGTTCGGAGTTGCCGCCGCGCGCCAGAGAACGGGGAAGCAGGATCAAGGTGTTGACGTCGTTGACCTCGATGACGTCCAGGAATTCCAGAGAGGAGATGGAGTCTGCACTGATCGTAATGGTCTCAGCATCGGATATTTTGATTTCTTTTACACCTCTTGGAAACGATGCTGCTGTGATGTTTATCTGGAACAGAGTCATGAACCCTCTGTCATCATTAGAGGTGGCAGAAGATGAAAATTTTGGGAACCAGACTCGAACCAGACCCGGCTGGACATTTCTGGAACCAGTCGGACCCGGTCTTAGTTGGAATCGGAACCAGTCGGACCCGTTCCCCAAAAGTCAATTAATACAAACTACTTGTAGGTATCATTAGTTGCATCATGTAAAACAGCCTATTTCCCACTGGGAATACTCATGAGATACTGTGTGCAAAGAAACATTCACTTCATATTTTGCGGTAATGTGTAGTGTGCAAGATGTATAGTTAATGGTAGGACCCGGTTGGACCCGTCAGAAAAGTTCCAGGAACCGGTCTGGACCCATATGGGTCCGGACTGGTTCTTTGGACCGGGTCCTCGGGTCCACATTTTGCCACCTCTAGTCATCATCATCATCATCGTTGTCGTCACCACCACCACCACCATCATCAATCATCATCGTCATCGTCATCATCACCATCATCATCATCATCAATCATCATCATCGGCATCAGCCATCAGCATCAGGCATCATCAGCCATCATCATCAGCATCAGGCATCATCAGCATCATCATCAGTATCAGCCACCGCCATCAGCATCAATTATCAGCATCAGCCATCAGCAT